CTGTTCAGCCTGGAGAAGACTCAGAGGGGATCTGATCAATGCTGGTCAGTATATAAAGGGTACAGGTCAAGAGGCTGGGGTCAGACTCATGTCAGTGGTGCCCAGAGACAGGACAAGGGGCAATGGGCACAAACTGGAACCCAGGAGGTTCCACCTGACCAGGAGGAGAAACTTCTTTGGTGTGAGGGTGGCAGAGCCTGGAGCAGCTGCCCAGAGAGGCTGTGGAGTCTCCTCTGAATAGATTCCAAACCCATATGGATGTGGGAATCCTGGGCACCCTGCTGTGGGTGACCTGCTGGAGCAGGGGAGTGGGACAAGGTGCTCTCCAGAGCTCCCTTCCCACCCCCCCCATGCTGGGATTAGCCACTACAGGTCTGCACGTGTGTGGGGGCTGTTGCATTTTGTGGCCCCTTCCCCATGTCAGTGCCCACAGGGACGTGCCCAAGAACATGCCAGTGCAGCTTTTACCAGGTCCTGCCTTTGCTGTTCACGTGGCCACCTTCTAGGTTTGAGGAGACCACCACCAGACATCTTCCAAGGGTGAATGTCTCATATTCAGTGACCTGTAGCCTTCATGAAAAGTTGCTTGGAATAGATAGACCTGTAACTAGATAGATAGAATCATCATAGAATGATCTTCTGCTAGTACTGCTTGTGGTCAAACTGTTTCATTACTGGGTTTTCAAATGGATTCTCCAGCCTCAGAGGCAAATCAGAACTGGATAATTAGAAGTGATCCAACCGAAATGCAGCTGCTGGTGTGTGCACACTCGTTTGAGGTGTCTCCCCCCAGCTTCCCTCCCTTTGTTCCTCTCTTCCTTCCATCTCCTAAGCCAGCTAAACATAGAAGAGAAGCTGTTTGGCCTTTGAAGAAGCAGTTTGTCCAATAATAGAAAAGCCCCGAGGTCCCACCCTTTGTCAGTTAAGAGCAGAGGTGATTTCCCTCCTTCTATTTACACACAAACTCTACGCCTGGGAAGCTATATTTAAACCCAAGACAAAGCAGAACAAAAGAACACACCCTACCAGCCAAGCCCAGAGCAGGGATCAGTGTCCACCAGCCTGCCTGCTCTGGAACATCCTCATGTCTCACCTCTGAGGGCAACCACCCAAATTCTTGGGAGTTTCTGGTCGGTGGAACCCTTTTCACTCCTGGCAGGGCTGGCTGAGGAGTCGGGTTGGCAGCCCCATGCCAGGAGCTTGGCACTGGGACCCTTTGGCCCTTCAAGAGCCCGTTGTGTTTGATCTCCTGGCGTGTCCTTTATTGTCCCTGTGTTTGCTGCCATGGCCCTGGGCACCTCACACGCTCTCCTTACCCACGTCACTGCCTGTGTTTACTCAAACAGAAGGAGCAGAACTTTCCACCACTCTTTTTAACCTCTTCTGCCCCTCAGCCTCACCAACAGCCTTTTCAGCTTCCAAACTACAAATCCTGGAATTCTATCAGTCCCTTTTGTTGCAGGAAGCTCAACCAAATCATCTTCCAAATATTTTCATGTGTGTTTATTCAGCCATATTAACCCTTAATGGCATTAAAGCAAAATTCAGGTAGAAGCTTCCAATCACAGGTTCACTTTAACTAGAGGGAGCTTGAAAGCTTTCCATTTGTCTCAACCAGTGTGGAAAGCTGGGACTATGGGCACTGTAATCTGCACTTAATCTAGAGACTGTTTCAGTTTTAGTTCTTTTAGGCAGTTTCACTGAAGTCTTCTTCTCTTCCTGCAGCATCTTCCAGCTGAAATCCCCAGGCACCAGTCAGGAGGGTCAGGCTCCCTTCCACTCTGACCTTCATGTGCCTGGGATAGCACTTCAGTTAACAAGAGACTGAAAAAACTTCCTTTTTTTTTCAGGGATTTTATAGAAAATGCTTTCTACTGCACTCAGGAGTCCAAGGTTAAGAGGAATTTAAGCTTCTGGAGAACAAATGTGGGATTTTTGTTTGTTTTGTTTTCCCTGCACGGAGTGTTAATGCCGTGGGGGCCTGACCCTGGCTTTGACTTCCAGGCATCCCAGTATTGCTAGGAAGGCTTAAGGATCCAAAAGCTGAGCTGAATCTTTCCAGTCAACCCTGAGCTGTAGAGAAGCACTCATGGACTGAAGTAAGAGAGGAGGTTTAGGTTGGATATTGGGGAAAAATGTCTTCCCTGAATGGGTTATCAAGGGTGGTGGCCTCCTCTGGACTCACTCCAATTGGTCACCCTCTTTTTTTCCCCCCCTTCCTCTTTGTAATAGAAATATAAAGGGATTTCTGTGCAACTTCTGTTGTGAAACCAAGCTCCAAGAGAAGTTTCTCCTCAGCCCCTTTTCTCTGTTGCCAATTGGTTTAGGAAAGGGGTTTATTTGGGAGAATATTTTGCCTGCTTCACTCTTCTACCAGGGACCAATGCTGGTGGCATGGCTGTGGGCTATTGAAAAGGCCTTGGGCAGCTGGCTGTGAGACAAGTGGCAACCAATTAGTATAATTCACATCTTTGTGCCTCAGTTAACACTGATGAGGAGAATCTGGAGCTGTTTGCAGCAAAGAAGTTCTTGAAGCAGATCCAGAAAGTATTAATGTGCTGCGTGCCAGGTGGTGAGAAGGTCACTGGGACAGAGATAATGAGCAACTGGAATAAAAAAATCCACGTGGGAATTTTTATCTCTTCTAATTCTACCCCCATTCCAGCTTTGTTCTGAGAATTGCTTTGCTCTAGAAGCTAATCAGGCCTTTTAAATGTCTTTAATCACCAAAGTAGAGAAGAATAAAGCATCTCTCATTGATTTAGCCTGTGTATTTTGTGCCCTCCCCCATAATCTTCCCCCTCCTTTAAACATCCTCTGCAAAAGCCTCCTTTAAATAGGCAGTTGCACGGGCTGAGCTGGTCATGCCTCTGGATTTCTCCTAGAAAGAAACATAAAAAGAGAGAAAAAAACCAACTTGAATATTCAAGCCAGGCAGGAGCTTTTCCTTCCTGAGCCCCCTGGGTTTGACCACACTAAAGGATCTCAGGAAAAGCAGTGTATTCCTCCACCTTTTACCTGACACCTGGGCTTGGCCTTTCTCCTTCCACCCTGTGCCACACTGAAGAGAAGTCTACACCTAAGAGAAGCTGCCCTGAGCAAGGTCAAATGGAAGTCTGCTCCTTGATGAAGCACAGAGGTGATGGGAAAACATCACTGTGTGTCAATGGGGAAAGAAAGAACCCCTTTTTTTCATCCCTTGCTTCTTCTGTGTCCAAGAAGGAGGGTAAATATGGCAGCTAAGACATATTAAATACAAATGAACTGTATTTGACACTATCCCTTTAACAGAGAGCAGATAAATCTCCCAGACAGCTGCATGCCCTATCCTAGGGTGGATTAGCACCATTTCTAGCACCAAACCCTTCAGCTGGAATGCTCCAGCTCCATATCCAGGACTCCCTGTGTTTTTCCAAGTGCTTACAATTAGTTTATAACCATTTCCACTGAAAAGCAGATGGGCATGGAGCAGTTGCTGCCAACACGTTTGGAAATGCCCCCAGAGCCAAGAAGTGAAACGTTCATGGTCTTTGTGAGGGGTCCAAGAACATCCATACAGCCAGCCTGCCTGCTTTCCAGTGGATACCTGAGCTTGGCCAGTTAGTCAGAACTGGAGGTGCCACACAGGCCTGCAGAGGAAGAGGGGAGGGAGCTGGTTCAGCCTGTGGGGGGAGGTGACACTTGCTGGTGACACGTCTGCACCTCACCGACCACGATCTCACAGCGACTCGGGGCTGGTGAAACTTCTCAGCAGCAGCAGTGCTGGGAGCACAGCCCCAGCAGAATGGAGGTCAGGCTGCAAAGCCTGCCAGAAACACCCAGCAGATGTTGAGGAGAAGACCTGCATCAAATTCCATGTAGTAATGTTGCTGCTCCACTTGACACAATCACAGAATGGGTTGGGTTGGAAGGGACCTTTCAAGGTTCTCCTGTCCGGTCCTCCTGTCCAGCCCCCCTGCAGGGAGCAGGGACATCTGCAACTAGAGCAGGTTGCTCAGAGCCCTGGCCAGCCTCACCTGAAATGGTTCTTCTCCAGGCTGAGCAAGCCCAACTCTCTTGAGCAAGCAATAAGTAAGGTTCAAGTGTGTTGACACAGGTCCAAGACACTCCTTGGCTGCCCCGAGGCTCCTCCAGACTTAGCTACAGACACACTCTGGGGTAGTGTTTGTACCTACAGCTTTTCCCGTGGTAAAGGGGACTCCAGCTGGGTTTGCTGGGCACATGATTTTCAAAAATAATGTTCTCTTCATGATCTTTGATGATCTTCATGATCTATCATGATGAGTGGGGGACTCTGAGGAACCTTGTCCTTCAAGGTTTTTCTTCGGTGGTGGTTTTGAGGCGCCTGGAAGCTTTTTACCTGTTAATTTAGTGCTACATTGTGTTGTGGCACCACGGAATGGTGGGGGTTGGAAGGGACCTCAGGAGCTAGTCCAGCCCCCTGCCAAAGCAGGGTCACCCAGGATCCCCACGTCCAGGTGGGTCTTGAAAACCTCCAGAGCAGGAGACCCCACAACCTCTCCGGGCAGCTGCTCCAGGCTCGGCCACCCTCCCGGCGCAGAACTTTCTCCTCCTGTTGAGACGGAACCTCCTGTAGACCCCACCAAGAGCTTCTGCCTGCTCTC